TCTGTCGGGAAAGACGCAGGAGGGCAGTTTCCAGGCTCTCGGCCTCACGTGGAAAGGTGCTGGCTCGGTTATTAGACGGCCATCAGCTGTGACCAGTTGGCCATTAGTAATAAGTAGTAATTGTTTTGCAAGTAACTGCTGTGGCTGCATTGAGAAGCACAGGTGTCCTGGATGGCGCAGATCCTGCGGATTCTACTTCCTGTGTCTCCCCCCGGCCGTCATCGAGAACGTAATATAGTGATATGAACCCCCTGTCTGTGGCTCCGTTGTTGTTCCTTTTCGGCCTCACCGAATCCTGCGTTCATCTGCTGGGAGCCAAGCCCCAGCATGACAGAGTCAGTGTCACCTCAGTCTTTTATGGGCTCACGCATGGCCCCGCCCCCCATGCCACGACACTGTCCCCTGTCTGTGGTCCCTGGAAGCCCGCACTCCAGGCATAAACCTAGCAGCTCCCTCTGAGAGCGCTGGGCCCGTGGTGCCAGGAAGCCCACGGCCTCCTTCAGCTCAAGAGCCTGGCGCGTGGCCCAGAGGCGCCCCCTGCAGGCCACGCGGGCGCGTCCGGGTGCCGCCACAGGACTGGCCCCAAGCCCACTGGGGACAACGTGGGAGGTGCACACAGGGTCTGGAGCAGGAACAGCAGTGGCTCCTAGGGACACAGGCTGTGAGGCACCCCGACTCCTGGTCCTGGGGCCCTCAGGAGTGGTAGGCACTGGTCAAATACTTGGGGTCTGGGAACCATATTGTGAAATTAATGGGGATCTGAGCTTTCATCGACTCCTATAATTAGATAAACACGCCAACTGGGGAGAGAAGGATTTGAGGTTTCGTGTGAAGTTGACACCCTGCCCTTCTCCCAGAGTGGGCTGAGCGGGGCTCTGATGGGAGTGTCCTGGGGTCTGGGCGTTCACTCTGTCCTTCACTCTCCCAAGCAGCCTCCCCAACAACATGGTCCCAAAAAGCCTCTGCAAGGCCGCCTGCCCTCTGGGGACGGTGCCCCAGCCCTGCCTACAGTCCCCATGGCTCTGTCGTCCCTGCAGACACACCTGTCCCTGTGCTCACCACGGGAGTGATTCTGAAGCCCAGGCCTGTCCCCCAGGCACGCGTGTGACCCAGGGCCGTCCACTCGCTGGTCTGTGTAGGGCCAAGTTTGGCTCCGGGGGACTTTAAAAATGTTTACTTATAGTCACAAGTGGTGATCCTTTTTCAGAATTCAAGGTTTTTTTCTTCTTTTGTTTCTGTTTATCAAAATGTGTCCTTTTTCCTTGTTTCTTGATTTTTGGTCTGTAATTAATGTTAGCGATTTGTCCTGCCCTGCTTTGTAATGTAGGCAAACAGCAGAGCAAACCAGCTGACCACAACTAGTCAAAAAAGCCTAACGTCACGACCATAAACATTTCACTAAACGCCTCTGTGACCAGCCTCTGTGAGATCAGGCCCAGGTCCGTCCATGGGGCTCTGGACGTGACAGGACCCCAGGACCCCCAGAGCCAGCAAAGATCCCTCAGGCGCCAGGCACCCCCACCTGATCCCAAATAGCACCACAGCTGCTTGTCCGCCTTCCAGGCGCCCCCAGCAAGGCCAGGGCCCTCCTCCCACTCTCTGCCTGAGCCCCACTGAGTGGACCCCAGGGTCGGGGGGCCGAGGGCCTGGGCTCCAGGAAGGTCTAGGGATTAAGATGGAGAAGAGAGACTGTGACTTGCTGGACGGACAAGGGGGATCAACGGAAGAACCACTGGGAATGGCCAGAAAGAACAAAGGAGAAATGTGTGCATTCTAACGTCGGGCGCCTTCTCAGAGGGGCGCTTCTGATGGGCCCCGGGGGGATATGGGGGGTGGGCCAGGCCTGGGCGGGCACTGGGCACTCAGGGACGTATATGGGGGTCCACTGGGACTCACTGCACCCTATGCCCAGCCTGGGGTGGCCTGTGCCCCGGACGCGTGAGCCTGGACATGACCTGTGGCCTGGGGTCTCCTGGGTTTTTTGACGAGTGCTTTACGAAGAAAGGGTGTCACTGGGAACCTCTACGTTGGTTAGTGTTCTTTGGTTCTCAAACGGGGCGTCACCTCAGGGCTGATTGAATTGTTGGCGGAAGTCTGTAGAAAAGGTCTGCTGCGCAGATTCAAACCGACGCTGTGGGGGGAGACGGCTGGTTGCCACGGCAACACGAGAGCCGGCTTTAATTGTTCTCCATGAACCATGGGCACCGGGCAGACACTGGGCCGTGCCCTCTAGGGCCAGACTGCACACGCAGGAAACACCACCTGTAACATCTCAGGCCATCTCCCCGTTTCAGCTCCTCAAATGGCTAAAAGTGGGGTGACTCCAAAGCTCTAAAATGTTCCGAAAAGAGGAAAGTCCGGCTGAGATGTCAGCAGCACGCTTGTTCCAGCGGTGGTGCATTTTTGGCAAGCACCCTGCATGTGGGGTGGGGCCGGACACTCATCTGGGAGACAGGGGAGCCGGCGCCCTCAACTCCCTGAGCGGTGCTGTGACAGCTCAGTCACTGCTGCCGCCCCCGACCCTCCGTCTGACCTTTGCTTCCATCCACCCAGACACCTGTCTTGAGGCGTCTGACACCTGTTCTCTCACAGCCTACAGGTGCCCGCAGCCAGAGGTGCAGGGAGAAACCTGGCTCCCAGCACATGCCAGGCGTGGGTCTCTGGGGCTCTGGCCCTCCAGCCGCAGGGGCAGCTGGCCTGCTCTGTCCCAGCGGGGGTGACCCACCCCGTGGGCTGCCCTCCTAACGAGTTGGGCCCATAGCTGCCAGCCCCGTGCTGAGCCTGAGCAGGTGCCAGCCAGCCCGTGCCACACGGCAGTCGGCCACTGCCTCCGCGTTGGTGTGACTTCCCCTCACACAAGGAAAGGCATTGCTGGATGGGAAGAGCTGGAGGCTACTGAGTGGACGGAGTCAGGGCTCTGACGTCCTGGGGCCGGGGTCGCCTGTCCTGTGGACGCAGACCCACGCCTGCCGTGCAGACTTCAGGGGGAGTCCTGCACTCATAGAACGTGCCAGAAAGCTGACCTTTCCAGACGGCAGTGGAGACTCTGTGCAGCGAGAGAGACCAAGAGCCGGCAGGCTGTGGCGACGCCTTTCTGGGATGGCGCGAGTCTTTTACTCAGATTAAACTACAGACGTGGTAAGTTTCAGGAGGGGTTCTCGGCGCCATGGGGGAGCCTGTGTCTGATGGATGCTTCTGCAGATGAGTGTCTGTGCTTCGGAGCTGAGGCAGGCGAGGAGGATGCTGAGGGTGTGTTTCCACAGCAGGGCTCGGGCAGAGGGCGCCTGAGGCTGGCCCAGCCCAGGGCACTCCCCCAACACAGAGCACAGCCACCGCGACTTCCGAAATGCAGCCACGTCAAACGTGGTCTCTCTGAGTTCTCTGAGCTGAGCCCGTTGTCTTGTGAAGGGAGAGGTCTGGGGCTCAGTGACATGGCGGTCACTCTGAGGACAGCGGCCGCCCGGCAGCACCAGGCGGGCTCCACAGAGCAGCAGCAAAGGGCAGGGTGGGCCCCATCCCGGCAGTGCCGCTCTGACCAGGCGGCCAGCAGAACGTCTGACCTCTCTGCCTCGGTTTCCCCATCTCACAGTTGTGCTGCTCTGTGTTGAGTGCAGAGCGCCACCGGCCACGTGGAGTCATGCGAGGGGATTGCTACACCCCGGTCCTCACCGCCAGCCCGCGACCAGGCCTGGAGCAGACGCCTCCATGGCAGCTCCAAGTCCTGGGCACCGGGGAGCTGAGACCCAGGCGGGTCTGGTGAGACAGCTGTGAGCGGGCAGGGGCCACCTGGCCAGCACCTCAACCCCTCGCAGAGCCAGAGCCCACAGGTGTGGCTCCTGGGGTGGCCCCAACGTGCAGCCACACAGCCAGCTCTTCCTGAGGAATACCCCACCTTCACTGCTGGGGTTCAGGGTGCCGGCCAACACTAGGTCCAGCCCATGGAGTGCACAGTCAGGATGTTAGCGGCCAGCCAGGCCTGTCTGCTCAAAGGGCCCACCAGAGAGCCCCCCCCCCAAGATCCAGGGACTCTCCTTGAGCCCCACTCAGACCCCAGAGGGCCCCCCATTGCACACAGAACCCTGCATGTGCCCCATCTGGACTCCAGGGTTCCCTCACTCGGGAGCCTCTGTGCACCCCACCGGACCCCAGGCGAGTCTGGGACTTGATCAGCCTTTTCCTTTTGAAGCTATGGGCCCCCCCGCCCAGGGCATGTGGGGCAGGGCCGAGCCCGGCCTGGGAGGGGCTTCTCCAGGGCTGCCCAGGCCAGGCTGGCCCCCATCCACCCGCCCCCCTCTCAGAGCCGCCCCTGCAGGATTTGGGAAGTCTGGCTCTGGTCCTGGCCCCGCTCTGAGGCCAGCGGATTGCTGGCTTCCTGGGAGAGGCTCAACACCAACACACAAGGCTGCACACAGAGCGAAGGACACGGCTGGTGACGGTGGAGGCCACCAACGGGCCTCCCCCTGCCCTGGGGAGCCCGGCCTGGGCAGGCCGTTCGCACCTGTCTCTGTCATTTCTGGGCTGGGAGCCCATGAGGCAGGCAGGGGTTGACCCGAGTGCGCGTTGCACCCTGTAGGTGGACGGTTCTGGTGGAAGGACCTTAGGCGGGCGGGACATCAGGGCACAAGCTCTGCGGAGACCAGCCCAGCCTAGGGGAGTCTAGGCAGCCCCCCTCCACCATTCGGTCTTGCTGCCTCCCTCCCTCTCTGTCCCCCCAGCCCAGGACCTCTGGCCCAGGGCCCCAGGGAGCGCCGAGGTGCCTGCCAGGCCTGGGGAGCAGCCCTGGCAGACCCGGGAGACCAGGGTGGGTCCGGACCAGCTCTGACAGCCGCTGCCTGTTCTCCAGAAAGTCACTTGACCTCTCGGGGTTCATGCCCCCATCTGAGGTTCAGGCTCATGCAGCACCCCACAGAGGAGCATTGGGAACCCCCCACTCAGAGGCCAAGGAAGCCAGACCTACAGAACCCCTCCATCTAATTCCTTTATTCTTAATGACACCCCCATATAGTATAGTATAGGTTCAGGCCCCTCAAAATCTGGGACAGCAGGGACCTGGGGACTCTAGGCACCAGCATCACAGCCTTCGAGATGAAAGGGAAGAGCAGTGGGGTCCCCCCAGGTTCAGGGGAGCTGAGCCCAGACCCCCAGCTGTATGTGCCCTGGAGAGCTGAGTTGGAAGCATAGGCCGGGGTCCCCCCTCCCGCACCTCCCACGCCCCCTCTGTCCGGGGCTGGGGGCTGAGACCTGGACGGGGCTCTTTCTGCCCGGCCACTCGGGCAGGATCACCCTGCTGACTCATGCTGGGAGGGACTCATTGTGGGTTCAGCTCCCTGCACACACATTTGGGTTCGTGGTGTTCTCATGCTCAGACTGAAAATTCCTCCAGCATCCGTTTCCGTGTTCACATTTCTGCTCTCGGAGCCCTCAGCCGACAGGGGTTTCCTTTAAAAATAAAACCAGCCGCCCTCTCCCCTGCCTCCTCCCGGAGATGTAACGTGAGTGGCCGACCGCTGGAAGCGAAGGCAGAGCCTGACCGGTTGTCTCTTTAAATCGCTCTGCAGTGGGACGGACGCGGGAAGGACCATTCCCAGCCTGCCGCAGGGAGCGGCGCCGACGGCCTCCCCCATCCCCATGGTTACGGCTCCCACTTCCCGCCGGTCGTGGTCCCCGGCTGTCGCCCTCGGAAGCAGGCGCAGAGGCGGCTGGCACTTGTCGCCGAGTCCTGGAAGCTGCCTGCTGAGAATTGCACTGCATGTCTGCCGGCGCTGGCTGTGACTCACCCCCGCTGCAGGCTTGCAATCTGTTGACAACTCCACTTGCAAGCTCCAGCCACCGCCTCCCGGAATGGGGAACTACCCAGCTCAGAGAGCTCGCCACGTCTCGCCGCCGGCAAGGGAAAGCGCGGCACTGTCGCCACTCCAGCTGCTTCTGCCAAAATAGGTGAGAAGTTGGGCCGCGTTTCTGTGGGATCTGGGGCGGGGGTGGCCCCAGGTGGGGAAGCAGCGAGACGTGGGGAGGCCGGGTCGCAGCCGCTGGCCGCAGCGTCCATTCACTGCCGTTTGGCGGGCGTCAGTGCCAACAGGGTGAGGCGAAGCCCGCTCTTGGAAATGCAGGTTCTGATCAACTGTGGGTCAAGCCGAGGGCATGCAGCCACCGCCGAAAATCCTTGTCTGTGAGGAAAGCGCCTGCCCGAGGTCGGCCACATCCAGGCAGCGGAAGGTTCCACCTGCCCGGGGCTGGCTGTTCTCTGGGAGGTTAATTCAAGGTTTATTTCATTCTCTTGACTTAAACTGACAGACATGTTCTAGAGCTGTGCAGCCGAAACGGTGGAGTTCAGTTTCCTGTGCCTGGATGACAGCACAGGTTGATTTTTAAATATGAAAAAGGAAGTGCTCCCTGGAGGCAGTCTGGCTGCTACTGGCTCCGCCGAGGTCCCTGAGGCTCCCCAACCCTGCTTGTCCCTGGCAGGGCACAGCCCCGAGCCAGACAGTCCAACAGGCGGCCCGGGCTGAGAACAGTCGAGATGGAGGCAAACTCCGGAGGTGCTGGGGCTGCAGGCAGCAGGCGGGCGCCTGCCCTGACCAGCCCTGTCTTCACAGGTGGGTGCAGCCTCTGCACCCTCAGCCCCACCAGGGCGACCCCGAGGCCCGTGGCTGGACTCCGTGGCTGCTGTTTGGGACCTTGACCTCTGGACCGCCATGGAGGCCGGCGGGGAGAAAGGTGCCACATAGCCGGGCGCCGGGGACCCACCGCCATCCACCCAGCACTCACCCTCCCGTGACTTCACAGCGCTCATGGTGAGTCCACCACGCCTGCCGCACCGCTCGGGGCCGGCGGGGGCCATGCCAAGGGCGGCCACCCAGTCACCAAGGCCCCGGGCAGGAAAAGTGAGTTGTCATGTGAGCAGTTAGTGGGCCGTGGACACATGCTTGTCCTTGGGGACAGGGGTCCCGTGGGGCAGGGGCGGGGCGCGGGTCTCCGGCTGCCCGCCTGGCCGCTGCCTGCTTGCTCACGTGGAGCATGCTAATTAGCTGACAGCTGCCGCAATGTTGAATCACTTCGTCCGTGGAGCAGAGTCTGCCCTGGGCCCCAGCTCAGGCGGACACACGGCCTTGGGCTGGGGCCCCTCCCACCCCGTCCTGCCTGCGCCTGGCACACGGCTGTCCCCTGGCAGCCCTTCCCCTCAGAAAGTTGACAGAATGGCAGGGGGCCGTGGGTGGGCTTCTGCAGCACGTGCAGCAAATGGGGAGGGTGTCGCACTGGAAAAAGGGGCCCCCTGAAGGCTCGTGTGTGCCTCGCTCGTCGTGGTTGCTGCCAGTTGGGACTCCGGGAGGGTTGACGGCCGAGTGAATAATGCATTGTGTGTGTGTATAAGGGACAGGAGCAGGGCACGTGCAGGGAATGCTGATGGCTGTAGGACAGCGTGGCCAGCAGCAGCCATGGCAGAGATGCCAACAGTGGGTCCTAGTGCAGACCCAGTTGTCCGCTTCGTAAGGACTGGTCCATCTGAGTCCCTGGTTCATTTTCTTCTTGGTTGGAAATGTCCAAACAAGAGCGATGCTTTTTGCCAAAACCAGCATCATTCGCAAAGCTGCCCCACGCCTCGGAGGCTGGAAGGACAGCAGCAGCCTGCCTGTCAGGCATCCGAGAGGCTGTGTGCCCTGGGCACAGGCCACTCCTCAAAGAGGACAGCAGCTGGCCCGGCCCGCAACTTAAGGGATCACTTGTTGCCGGCAGGTGCCACGCCCAGCATGGCTACGGCCTCCAGGGTGGCAGTATTCATCCTCAGATCTACATACCCATTTGCAATAGGACACGACGGGTCGCACTGGCAGAGGGAGGGCGAGCTGAGAGGTGAGGCAGGCGGCGGCCGGGCAGCGCCCCTCAGGGCCACTGCGGGTGACCGCCTGCCCCCTCTGTGCCCCCTCACCTCTGACCCGTCGGCCCTTCCACACCAAGTGCAGGGGCTCCCGAAAGCGAGAACAAGCCTTCCGTCCGCTCCAGGCCCGCCCCACACACACCCCCTCTGAAGCCACGGGGTCTGCACGCTGCGCTGGCTGGTTCAAGACCCAAAACCAGCCAGTGACTCCTGCCTGGAGAGGCTGCGTTTCAGCAGTTTGTTGGGGTTTTGTCCTTCCTAAGTTACGTCACCCTGGGCAGCGTTTCTGAAAGGAGTGGAGAGCGTGCAGCCTCACGTGCCGGGTGGCAGCTCTGGTGCGAGCGCTTCTCTGTGTGTGTGTGAGTCTGTGGTGTAGACGCATGGGCAGGTTTCCCTGGTGTCATGGGGAGCCTGGACCCCCAGCCGCGGGGTGGCCTGCCACCTGGGGTCCGCTAGCAGCCTTCTAGATCCTCCGGGAAAGAGGCGTGGCCTCTGGAGGCGTGTCTGTGGCCACACACTGAAGCTTAACTGTGCTGAGTCCCGGTGTCTTCTGGCCGGCCTGCTGGGCCGAGCCCCTTTTCTGAGCTGCTCCTGTCTGCCTCCAGCGCTGGGCGGGGTCTGAGTATCCAGGGGCTCCCCCAGCCAGCAGCCCAGCCTCCAGCTCCTTGATCGCAACCGTCAGTAAACCAAGCAGCCTGGGCTGCCTTGTCTCCGTCCTGGTGCCGTGAGGGTCCCAGTGCAGCAGGTCCCAGGTGCTCGCCACATCCTGTCCTGTGAGCTTCTGTGCCCCTCGCGCTCCCCTGGGGCAGCAAGCGACCTGCAGGCTCAGGAGGCTGGCACTGTCCAAACCTCTGCACTGTTTCCTTTCAGAGAGTCCACGGCCTGGCTGTGACCAGCTGTCGCTGGGAGGGAGGCAGCCCCGGCCACACGGGCACTGCTCTCCCAGTCACACGTCTTGTGGCCAGAGGTGACTCCAGTCACCTGGGGGTGGTGGCCTCTGCTGCTAACGGTCACTGCAGCATCAGGTCACACCCAGGGGGAGTGCCAGTCTCCAGTGGCACAAAGGCCACTAGGTGGCTTCGCTTCAGGGGTGGCCTCGGCCCTAGGGGTGCCAGAGACAGCAGGGCTGGGGACCTCATGGAGACCCTGGCAGAGTCCCCGCATGCTGAGGTCAGGGCTGAACTCAGTGTCATCAGTGTCCTTGGCCACGTCCTCCAGGGGCACAAAGCCAAGACAGGGAGAGAGGCCAGGTCTGCCCCAGCTGTGCCTGGAACGGAGACACACATGCCCAGGACGCCCCTGTTCTGCACAGAAGCACCCCACATTCGACAAAAGGAACAAGGGAATTGAAACCCCCAAAGAGAGCGGGGTGGGAGCTGGGTGGAGACCAAGGGGGCGAAGCCGGGAGAGCTCGCAGGCAGGGCGCAGGGGGGCCGAGAGGGAGGGAGCCGCGGGGCGTCTGAGTGAGGCAGGCCCTGGGCCCAACGCCGGTCACGGGGTGCAGTGGCTGCCCCTGCAAAGCCGCCCGCGGGGGCCCAGCTGGCACCTGGAGGACGGCCCTCAATCCTGCGAACACTCAGAACTTCAGCGACTTCTGTTTGTTGCTTTTAACTCAGTCCAGTGCTTAAGCTTCTAAACACTTATAAAACCTACCTTCATCCCACAAATGGGGTGTCACCCACCTAACAAGGCCCTCATCTCGAACAATTTTGAGCGAGTAACCCCCTAGAAGGGGCGTCCCTCTGATCCTTCTCACGTGTCCTGTGCAAAGCTCTTCAGGGTCCCACCAGCCCACACACCCCTCCAAAGGCAACTGTAAAAAACTATGTAAATGTAACATCCAATTAGGGTAATTTGTGCTGCGAATGAATAAATTACTTATCTTTTGCCTCTGCCTTTCCCCGGGGAACACTTTGATGAAAGGTTGACAGATCAATAAGATGCAATTATCATTAAAAAGGCTACAAGGGACACCAGGCTCTGATGAAATCAGTCTTGGCTGGTACAGAGCCGGAGGAAGGACGCCTGGGGTGCCCCCAGTGGCCGCAGGCCTGGCCAGGACCCCGTGGGGTGAGAAGGCCGGGGTCCCTCATCCTGCCCTCCCGCCCCCCAGCCTTTCTGCTGTGGGGCCCTAGCTCCGACCCCTGTCCCTGGTCCACAGGGTGCTGCGGGGTCGTGGCCTCCGGGAACTTGTCCAGAGACGTGCCACACACTCGACCACCATGAGGATTTCTCATGGAGAGCTTGCAAAGTGCATTCTCCCAACAGGAGCTGGTACATGTGTGAACTTTAAAATAGAAAATATATCTCCATTCTGCATAACCTGCTTTGAATTTTAAATGTCACCTCTGAAAATGTAGAAAGGCACAGCTGATAACTGATTTGGAGAAAGAAAAAAATAGGAGTCCAAAGGAAGTCGAATGTTTCTAATAAAACATGGGTGCAGCTGCCCAAGGCCTGGGGCTCAGGGCTCGGGGTCCCCACGGCTGCCTGCCCTCCGCAGAAGCTTCGAAACTGGGCCCTCGGAGGAGAAGGGAGCACCCGAAGGCCGGTGACATCCCGGCAGCGAGAACGCTGGCCTGCGGGGCTGTGAACGGACGCGCCAAGGAGTTTGCAGGGAGCCTGTTATGATTTCTGTGTGACTTAACAGAAGGGAGTTTGTGTATGTGACGAAGAACCGACAGATAAGATGCATTTGATTGTAACTCTGATGTGGCTTCTGAGTGCCAGACACTTCTGCAATCCTGGGGACGGGTGTGCTGTGACGTGTCGCACGGACAGGGCGTCAGGACGTCAGCTCTGCTCTCTGCCACCATCCCTGCCCCCAAGAGTCAGCGGTCTTTGCGGGGCCGGGCAGGTCCCCGGGCATTCACACCACAGTGACAGCACCCCAAGGAAGTCCCTGAAGGGAGGCAAGTCCCCAGAGGCGTGGAGCCCACCCCCACCGTTCAGCAGAGGCCGCGACACAAGCAGGGAGGGGCTGGACACAGGATGCACCGCACGTCCGGACATGAAACCTGTGTTCTGGCCAGCGGGGCTGATGTGAACAGCGAGCCTATTTTACGCCCTGGGTGGATGTCATGGGAGGGAAAACCACAGACTCCCACGGCAAAACTCGCCTGAGGACATCGCTGGTGCCCAAGGTTCTCCACCTTGCAACAACAAACTCGTGGAAGAAACGGCGAGTGAAAAGATAATTTGATGTCAGGATTTGACCAAGAAGAGTGACTTTTGCAGTTTCACGTTTGGCAGGAAGGGTGACAAATGTAGAAAACCCTTAGAGCTCTGGGGTCACCAGGGTCCCCTTCCTGCTAGATGGCAAATGCCCCCGAGTTACGGTGTGTATGTGCTTCCAGCAGCCCAGGCATCATCGGCAAATGTCCCCCAAACGATGGCATTCTGTGACTTCACTGCTCCTATGAAATGTCTCTTCTTCACCGCTCTTATGAAGTGTCTCTTCTTCACCAACAGGCAGGTCTGTCCTTTGTCACAGAAACCCATCCTCCACAGGCGAGGGACCCTTGTTGCAGGATGGGGAGCATAGCCGATGCCCCCCGTCCTCTGCTGGGTGCGGCTGTAAGGCCAGGATGGCTTCCCTCCTAAGCCGGGGCTGCAGACACTGCCCGGGGGCCCAGCGTGCACAGCCTCCCTGGTTGGCCAGAGCAGGCAGGACCTCTAGGTCTCCCGTGTGTGTCCCTGTCACCTGGAGGCTGGCATCTCTTGTCCGTCTTTCTCCTGAGCTCATGGCTTAGTGGGAATTTGGGCTGCGTGTGCGCATGTGTCCTGCTGGGAGCCTGCTGTTCCGTGCATGTCGGCACCAGCGCTTCAGACTCCCTGGTCCGTGGACAGTCAGGGCTGAAGCGTGGGTGTCCCGTGGTGTCCCCTGCAGCCTGCAGAGTGCTGCAGCGGCCCTCCCTCGGTCGCATCTGGTCATCTGCTTGTTCCAGCCCCAGCTGCTGTTTCTGGCCTCATGGGCGGCCAGCTCCCTCGGGGGTCAGAGTGTGAGCAGTCCTCTTGGCATCCAGGGACTTTCATGTGGAGGTCTCTCTGCTGTCATGGCAGCAGCTGAGGGGATCCAGTCACCAAGGACATGGCCAAGGGCTGTCAGAGCCCCGTAAAGACGTCCCACTGAGCACCTGCTGAAGGTGGAGTCCCACGTGGGGACCCACAAGGCCACGGCTCCGCCTGCCCTGAGCACTCACCTGAGCAGGGGCTTGCCGGCCCTGGCAGGGAGTCTGCTTTGGCTGAGACCTAGCAAATCCTGCCTGCCCACCCCCGATGCACAAAATGCCCTGAACAACTCGAAGGGGCGCGGCAGGGCCTCGGGGAGACAGCCCAGCTCTGCCACGCACACCGCCTCTCGGCCACATGGCTCATGTGCTCTGCCTGTGTTCCCCCCAGGATTTGAAGACTGTGCTGTCTCTGCCCCAGCACCCAGGGGAGTTCCTACACCCAGTGGTGTACGCCTGCACGGCCGTCATGCTGCTGTGTGTCCTCGCCTCCGCCATCACCTACCTCGTGCACCGGAGGTGAGGCCCCGCTCTGCCCCGAGACTTCCTGCTCTCACCGTCCAAGGCAAGCCCCAAAGCGAGATCTCCTACCTCCCGTAGCAAGAAGTCCCTGGAAGGTACTTCACACGTCGCCAGCCAGCTTGAGCCCACCCAGCACCCGGGTGGCCTTAGCGGCGGCCAAGTTGGGCCAAAGGGTCAGGGACAGCTGTGCATCTCATTCTGGCCTCTGTGTTCCTAGCAAGTGGGTGAGAGAAGTTCTTCCCCCAACAATGCAGAGCCAGTTCGGGCGCCCAAGAGCCCATGACCATGGGAAGTTAGAGCGGCCGGCAGACCCTCACTTACTCTGCATTGTGCACTTTTTCCTGGAAAAGGAAGTGTAGTTGGTTTTCTCCTGAGCTGGTTTCCCAGCCACCCCTGCCTTGGAGTGGGCAGATGACCTGGGCGTGTCCCCGTCACTTGAGGATGCACTGGGCAGTGGGGGAGGGGTCCTGGCCACATCAGGGACAAGCCCCCATCCAAGTCCTGGGCAACACCTAGACCGTGGTCAGGGGAAAAGGCCGCGCGAGTACGGCCACAGCCACGGCTGGAGGCACAGTCGGGGCATAGCCAGGGGCGAGGCAGGGTCACAGCGTGGTCACAGCCACAGGCAACGGCCGAGTCCAGGGACAGGCATGGCGCTAGGGGTTCATCTGGTCATTAGTCACAGTCACGGCCTCCCCTCAAGGTATCAGACTTCTGCTCAGAGAGGGGACAGCCCCGTCCTGGGGACCAGGAGGCACCACCAGGAGTTCGCGGCCCCCGTCTCTGTGACTGGACAAGCCCCCAGGGCCCTCACTGTCAGTGACCAGGGAGTCCGAGCTTTCCCCAAACCCCTTCCAGCCCAATGCCCCAGGGCGACTTAACGCCGGACCCCTCACTCGGGTGCACTTGGGCCTTCCCATGACCCTGTCCTTGGGTGGCCCCTCCAGCCCCGGCCCGACCCCCCATGGACGACACCCGGCTGAGGTGCCGGCTCCTGACGAGACACCATGTTTCCCGCAGCGCCATCCGCATCAGCAGGAAGGGCCGGCACGCGCTCCTGAACCTCTGTCTGCACGTGGCCCTGACCTTCACGGCGTTCGCCGGCGGCATCAACCGCACCAAGTACCCGACGCTGTGCCAGGCGGTGAGTGCAGCCCACGGCGCCACTTTGTAACCAGGTTAAGGGCCCTCGGCACTCCTTCCTAAGGGGAAACGTGTGTAGCAGCCATGAAATCTCTCGAGTGCGCGCTCAGCTGTGTCGCGTGGGCAGTGGTTAAGCGTCCAGCGCGTCTGCTGCAGACCCAGGTGAGTCTGCGGCTTTGCCCAGCACTCCATTGCGTGAACAATTTACTTTTCAATCGGACCAGCTTGCTCTGAGGCCTGTGGTTACACGCGAACTGCAAGTTCACTGTCCGACCAAAGTGCTTGGCCAGGAATAGGGACACGCCGCGCCTCTCCTGCAGAGACGGCTGGGCAGGAGCACGGGGCGGACGGGGCCACCTGCCGCCCCCGTCCAGGTTAACCACCCATGGCACTGATGCTGAGACTGCTAATCAGGCAGCAGAAACTGTCACCGGCAGGCTGCCAGGGAGTCCAGGCCACAGAGGAGGGTACCCTGCTCCCCTCAGGTGAAAGGGAAAAACGTGAACTGCCCTTCAGCTGTCAGAGCTGAGAAGAGGCCCTTCCACAAGCGAGAAGCCGAGGAGAACTCGCAAGGCCCCTCCCTGCTCCTCTCCCTCCAGCCCAATCCACCTGCTCAAGTCCCGGCTCATCTCCAGAGTAGGCAGTCACCCCAAGTGGGCAGTCACCCCAGGTAAACAGTCACCCCAGGTGGGCAGTCACCCCAGGTAAACAGTCACCCCAGGTTAAGAGTCACCCCAGGTGGGCAGTGTCCTCCAGCACACAGGCAGGGGCCCAGTGAGGGCTGCCCCATGACCACAGGGCATGTCCCCAAGGACTCACGTGCTTGGCTTCTGTCATTTTGTGGTTGCATCTCCCTGGGCCACATGGAGGGAACACTGGCAGCCGACACCCTGGAGAAGGTCCCGTTGCTGCGCGCTGTCCTTGCTTGCTGTGAATTCAACAGGCATGAGCTGGAGGCTGTGGGGCTAGTGCAGGACCCGTGTGGACTGGCTCTGACCTCGGTGGCCATCTGCTCACACAAGACCACCTGTCCACCTGCACAGACGGCGGTGGCTGGCGACTCACCCTGGGGACCGGTGGGCCTGCGGCTGCTCCTGTAGGGGTGCCTTGGGGAATAATCGGCTGTGAGGTCCTGTCCCCACACCTGCCCCCCCACAAGCGGCGCGCCAGCCCGTGGACAGCTCCCTACTCCAGAGCCCTGGTGCCCTGGGCCCCGCTCCCCAGGATCCTGTACACGGAGGAGACATCACTTTCCTGAAAGTCCATGGTCAGGGCCACCCACCCCATGGGGAAGCCCGTCCTGGGCCCAGCATGTACCTGAAAATCACGCTGAGGGGCAGACCCACTTCCTTTCGCCTTCCCACAGGCTTGGGAACAACCGAGGCCAGCGCCCGGCAGCCCCAGGCACGCTCCGCCCGTAAGCGCGGCTGTGGAGAGGGCTGTCTGATGGCTTATCTCCGTCCACACTTCCCCACTCGAGCGCCCACACGCCAGGGCCCAGCTGGGAGAACGGAGCCCCTGAGAGCTGTGGGCAGTGCAGCCAGCTCCCCGCCCCCTGCCCACAGAGGTCCAGGTGATCACGGCACTGGGGAGCCTGCACCCCGCCCCCTGAAAACCTGGGAGCTGTCCCGTGGGCAGTCACCTCCAGGTGTCCTCATGGTGCCCAAGACCTGGCCGGTTCGGCCGGGGTGGGCAGCCAGGGTGCCAGGCGGGCAGGGGCAGGTGAAAGCCTGGAGTTGTCTGGAGACGCAAGATCCACCGAAATCGTGTCCTGTGGTGACAACCTCCGAATGCTGCTGGAGGCAGCCAGCCCTGAGCTCTGGGGGCCACGCCGTCCTGACCTTCCGACTGTGTTTCCAGGAGGGAACAGGGGCATCATTCATTCGACCACTCGTTCAGTCACACAAATGCACCAGGGGCTGTGGGTGCCGTGGCGCAGCTGAGAACAGCCCGCGCCCTTTCTCCACTGCACAGACCCACCTGTCAGTGGCGGGGGCACCGGCGGAGCACCAGGGAGATGAGCCCACAGGGCGAAGATGAGGCTGGGGTGCAGGGGGTGGGGGCGCGGCACTGGCGACCCCTCACACGAGCCCTCAAGATGACATTCTCCCTGTGGCGTTTATCTAAAGCCGGCCTGTGCTCTGCAGGAGCCAGCAGAGGCATCGGCCACCGTGGCCGAGCGTCAGCCAGGCTCGCCCGGCTCAGGTCCCCCGCCACGTGGTGCACACGAGACCAGGAGGTGCAGGAAGGTGTGGTGGCTGCTGTGTGTGTTCGTGTGACGGGTCAGATGTGATTCTGGGTGGGTCTGTGAGGATGTTTGGCAAGCGGACGGCCCTCCCCGGCGTGGGTGGCCTCGCCCAGTCCTCTGGGGGCCTGAAGAGAACAAGGGGGCGCGTGAGGGCGAGCTCCCTGTCCCTGTCTCAGCCACGATGTCGGCCTCCTGCCACTGACTCAGACACCAGCCGGAGCTAACCCACCGGTCACCTGGGCCTCCAGTGTGCCGGCTGCAGCCCTGGGGCTTCCTTGGCCTCCGTAACTGCCTGAGCCAACTCGTTATAGGCAGCCAGGCTGGCCCCACCTTGACAGCGACGCCTGGCACCACCCTGGTGCTGGACACAGGACTCGGGCCAGCCTCCCCTGTCCAGGTGCCACTCCGCCTTACGGTGAAGCAATGGCGTGTCCAAAGCTCCGGATGGTGGAGGGCACAGACGGTTGTCATGGTAACAAAACTGACCATGTGCCTCATTAAAGTATGAAGTGACATCCCGGACATACACAGCGACCGGCTGTTCTCACACAGTAATGGTGCGTCGGTGCTGCCCGAGCCCAGAAGCACGGGATGGCTGCAGAGGGCTGTCGGAAAGACAGGGCGCTGTCCCTGCGACCTCTCCCTGTGTGCAGCCTAAGGCGCCGTCTGGGAGACAGAGCCCTGCGGTTCACACCTTCTCGAAATCCCCAGACGTGCAGTCTGGCCGAGGCTCAGAGCCACTCCTTCTGGGAGTCCTCCTCCCGGCCCTGCGTGCTGCCTCCTCGCCTGCTCAGCTCCAGAGACAAAGGCCTGGGGTTGGGCTCCTTCTGAGGAAGTGTCTCTGACTGTTTCTATTTATACCTGATGACAGCCACACTGCTGTCCCCTGAAAAGAAAGGCCATCCTTCGATCGAGGGTCAGCGACACGGTCCCCCTGCCTGCCTCTTCTTCTGGGGCAGAGTTCATCCTCTCAGTTCCTAGCACCTCCCACTGTCGGCCAGGCGGGTGAGGCCATGTGCTCGAGATGGAGCCCACGCGACGCAACGAGGGCCCAGGCCAAGTGAGACAAAGGCTGCACTGCCACGTGTGAGCGGGGAGCCCCTCCAAAGCCATAAACGCAGCGCTGGGCCTTCCCATCCACCCACCAAGCGCGCTGCAGTTACCGTGGCGCTTTCTCATAAGTAGAAACTGAGCTGGGGATTTGATGCGTCTCTGTAATGCTAGCTTTATTCAGAGAACCTGTGTTCGTTCCTTAAACATGTATGTCCTTCCCAATTATAGCCGCATTTTCCTTGTCCTTACAAAATGTCAGGTTATTACTTCAAAGGTAACCTCGTTTATAGAGCGGGTGGAGCTGGAACGCTGAGTAGCGACGCAGGAAGTGTGGGCGACAGGACAGACTCACGCTGTCTCCATAGCTGGGAGCAACCCTGACTCGCGGGGAGCAAACTTGAGTATCTGATCCAGGAGGTGCTTTACTCACAGGCAAATACCGGTGCCTGGCAGACCAGGTGGCACCTGTGTGGGGAGAGCCCAGAGGACGGGCTCCCTGGAGCTCTGGGGTCCGTGCCTGGGCCGCGCCAACCACGGGGACGTGTGTGCATGGGCCCCACGCACGGCACGGCATGCACCCCACTCAGGGACACGTGTGGAGCCAGCCCCAGAGGACCACACCCAGGGACGCCTCTCAGACAGGCCACGGGCCCCGCGCCCCCACGCCGCTGCAGGACAGCAAAGCTTCCAGGCTCTTCGCAGCCCAGGCGACTCCCTCGGGCTCCACGGCCCCTGTGCCGTGTGGCGTCTGCCTGACCTAAGAACCCCAGTGCCCTCCTGCAGCCTCGTTTCCTGTCACTGCCGAGCTGTCCCCTGAGGATGAGAGGGTGCCGGGGGGGTGTGGACTGGCTCTGGCAACGACCGGTGGGGAGGGCGGGGGCTGACCTGCCTCTCCCCCCAGGTGGGCATCGTGCTGCACTACTCCACGCTGTCCACCATGCTGTGGATCGCAGTGACCGCCAGGAACATCTACAAGCAGGTGACCAAGAAGGCCCCGCCGAGCCCTGGCGCAGACCAGCCGCCGTACTCCCAGCAGCCCCTGCTCAGGTACCCAAGCTCCGGCCCCCGAGCTGTGAGCCAGCCCTAGACCTGCAGCTGGGGTCTCCGCAAAGTGGCTCACAGGGAAACTTGGGGCCCAAGGATGATGCAATCCACACAGGTGGCCAGGGGTGGGTCCGGGTGCTGGGGGCAGGGTGGGGGG